AATATATTTTCCCATGGCCATCTGACTTCCATTATTACAACTGAGAAGTCACCCACCCACCTGTTGCCCCTTTAACAATAATGACCAAGCGCAAAGTTCAGAAGGCAGGAAGGATTAGGAAAGGAGGAGGAGGGGATCCAGGAAACCCAGGGAGGAAGAGGGAAAAGTCATTTGATACTGTGAGAATTGTGATCAGGGACAAAACTTAACAAACAACTTCACAAACTTATGTGAAATGCTTCATGGAAAACGGCTTTGCTCTGTACACCAAATCAAACACTTCCGTTGAGTTGATGGTAACCCAAGAAGATGGGGTAGAACTGCCCCTGTGAACTTCTAAACTCTTTATGGGAGTAGAGAGCCCATGTGGATTTCTAAACTAACTCTTTACGGGAGTAGAAAGCCTAGACGATTTCCAATGGAGAGGCTGGTGGTTTCAAACTGCACACATTGGAGTTTCTGTTTTCTGTGTAACCCTTAGACCACCAGGGCTCCTTTGTGCCGGAAAGCTTCACCAATTCATCGTAAAAGTGTGGGGGAGAGTAATATATTTCTTGTACATGGTTATAAATACATTTTTATATTTAAAATTATATTTAAATATTTTCTTGTTAAAACATGTATCTCCTACCCTATTCATTTTGTCAAACGATAGGATACTCTGGTTTATTATTATTACCTTTTATTGTGTACTAATTGCAGAAATACCCCCACCATCTTCATTCATCAGCAATGTCTTTCTTCATCCATTAAACTAAACTTTGACTGAGTTTCCTGGGCTGTAGTGTCACCAGAGGAAAAGAAATGTATCTTGGTCAGGTCACTGTGTCCTTCCATTCTGAATCACCCATGCGGATTGAGTTACTGATGGACTTGATTTCCATCTGGACCTCAGAAAGGTGATTCCAGCCCCACCACTATAATTCCATTCCGCGGAAGCTTCTTTTTGTCTACAAGCACCAGTCTAAGAAAATAGAGTGTAATAAAGCCAAATTGTGGAGTTGCCCACAAAGTTTAGCCTTTAAGTGCTCAAACTGATTTTAACTTCATACAAGGGGGAACCCACATTGCTACAGGGTGCCAGACCCTTGGACTGATGCTGTCCTCTTTCAGAGGCCCACTTCTGATTTCAGACGTCGCTAGAGCCCCTGGTCCTATGCAAGCTCAGCCTCTCATCTCAAGTGTACCCTACACATCTTTTGGTAGATGTTTGCTTTTCTTGCCAAGAACTACTCCAATGCCACATGAGACCTTTTAGGTGAGTGAACACCACTGGGGATGACCCTTAAACAGTAAGAGTCAGCAGCCGCTCAGTTTTGCCCCCCACCCCTTCCCTGTTTTAGTCATCCTAGTCCCTCACATCTACCCTGTACAATTATGCCTCACATCATCTGCCTGCATGCAAGCCCTTGCTTCAGGCTCTCCTTGTCAGACTGGGAGTGCAGATTAAACCTTTGAAGGCAGAGAGATCCATCTCCATTGGCAGAAGAGGCTGAAAGGTGGTCCTGCTGAGCTCTGTAGTGCCTTTGGCGACCCACTGCCCCATGCTCATGTGTATTTCCCAAAACACCTTCACATTATGGTCTTCGCAGTAATTTCCAGTGAGGAGCACCTAACCCAGCATCACTATACAAAGTGTTAAAAATTGTGTACCAGGTGAGAACCCTGGAGTCCAAGCCACCACTTGTTTGAATACAAACAACCCCACGTTAACCTCAGTGCCATCGAGTGAATTCTGACTCATGGTGACCCTCCAGGGACAGAGCAGACCTGTCCCTGTGGATCTCCCAAGCTGTGAAACTCTACAGGGCAAGAAGACCTCCTCATCTTTTTACTGGGGAGTAGTTGGTGGCTTCGAACCACCAGCATCCCAATGCATAACCCCCCAGGGATCCTTAAAACTAGACAACGGCCTAGACTATCCAGTCAAACATTCTCTTTTTTACCAGTTCGACTTGAGTGTGTCGTTGAAGGCTGCTTCATGGGAAAGGAGAGCCCAGATCAGTTCTCTCCACGCTTCCTCCTGCCATACACGAAAATGAGCTGGCGAGGCCCCTCCAAGGCCAGTCCAGACGTCGGCCTTTGTTTTACTATTTCCTCCACAGGGACTATTTTGCCAGATTTTCTTGTTGTTCAGGCTCAGGTCAATTGTCAACTCCTCAAAGATACTTTTCTTGATCATCTTTCCTTGGTCCTTCCAGCCACTATGACATCATCCCAATTTGTTGTTTTCACAGCCTGTACCACTCTCCGATCTTATTTTAATTATTTATTGTTACATTTATTATACATCCACCAGAATGTAATGCCACATGAAAGAAGAGATCTTGGCCATCTTATTTTTCTGCTTCATTGCTGGTACCTTGAACAATGCCTGGCATATTGTCAGTGCTTAAGATTCGGATAGAAGGAATGATAGCGACCCTGATATGCTATATCACAGCCTCACTTGTCTGGGTTGACACAACATGCCTGCTGATTTGGATCATGCAGTTAGCATATTGGAAGAACCAAGGCCCCGATTAGATAAGCCCATGAATTAACACTTCATATCTCTGGCATATCTCAGCCTCTGGTCCTGGAGTTAGTCATCCCCGGACCGTGCAGTTGTTTCCCTGCGGGTCTTCACCCCAAGCGCAGAGAGAAGTCAAGGCTCCATCCGCAGCATCAGGACATACAAGAATATGGAGAACATACATTCTCTACATGATCCTTTCTAGAATATCTTAAGTTTGGGTTCCTTAGCTCAGGGATGTTAAGGGGAGACAGACTAAACCCCTAGAGCAGGGGTCCTTAAACTTTTTAAACAGGGGACCAGTTCACTGTCCCTCAGTCCCGTTGGAGGGCCGGACTACAGTTAAAAATAAAAAACTATGAACAAATTCCTATGCACACTGCACATATCTTATTTTGAAGTAAAAAAACAAATGAGGCAAAAACACCTGGCGGGCCGCATAAATGTCCTTGGCGGGCCGCATGTGGCCCGTGGGCCATAGTTTGAGGATGCTTGCCCTAGAGGTAAGAGACATAAAAAGAGAATTTTTCAGACCCAGTTCTAGGATTTAGTGGGACAGCTGGAAAAGAAGTCCCAAGAATCACACGTGGTTTAGGCTAGCTTTCCAGGAAAAGGAGACGGGTAATGACTGGGATACACAGCTGTCCATTGGAGCTCATGCTTCTTACACTAAATAGCCCCACAAAGCTTCAATGCAGTGTTAGGAAACTGGATATAAATGTGGCCCAACAAGGGAGAGATGAGGGAACCGCAACACAAAAAGCACATGTAACATTTATTTTTCTTAACAATCATTATCAGAGAGACTCTTTGATTCTGATAGCACCTTTACAACTCTGCCGCTTACGTAATCACATCTTTTTACCTCAGAGCTGCTAAGTCCAGACCTTTATTCAGGTTTGCATGTTTGACGCTGGCCTATGTCATGAATGAAAATAAGTCCCTCTCTGTGTACAAAATCGGAGCAGAATGGATCAGTTCAATAACGATGACACCAAAGTTCAACTTTGGAGATCTTAACATGGAAATCTCTGATTTTCGCAGGAAATGGACGTTTTTCATCTAAGAGCAATCATCTTAGGTAGACTTTTTCTCCGTCTTTGATATGTAGCAACAGGCCTGATCCCCTAGGAGATCTGATAGGCAGAGCCAGAAATAGTGAGGATGTCAATACACGGATTTTTCTAGGAGCCCTAGAAGGGCAGAAGCAAATGTTCAAGTGGACAAACATAGAGCGCAGGAGCCCTTGACTGTCCTCAGGATGAGGAAAATTAAATGGAAGAAACAAAACTCTGTAAGTATGTTGAAGAACTGGCGTTTCATAAATAATTACCACTGCCTTTAGTTGCTCTGAGACTTACTGATAAACATCTTTTTCCTTAAACTTCTTTCCATATTACCTTCCATTATTTATGACTTGATTCCTATTTATCAAGTACACACTAGTATTAATAAAGCGTGGCCACTTCCCTTAAATGCTCTTTGTATAAGGGAGGTAGATATATAAACAGGTAATACAAATAGGCTTTTTCCTCAAAAATGATGTAACCAACTATTACATACAGAGGTGTTAGTGTTTGGTAATAGTATGGCCTATTAATTAATATATTCCAGGGATTACTGAAACCAAACAAGGGATTATGCCTGAATACCTTTTAAATCTAGTGAAATGTCAAGTGTTTTCATGTTCATTATCAGAGTATATCCACCATAGTCCAGATATTAAAATGGAGTGAAAAACTTTTATAGCGAATAAGACAAGAATACCTGTGCCAGCCATTCATAAAGCACTGCTTTTTAAATGGCAGAAGACCTCCTTGCCCCACCCAACATATTGCCTCTGCTGACTCTTTGCTGATGTTCTCAATTGAAACCTTTTGTAATGAGCTGTTTTTCATAAGTACATAAAGTGGAGCAATATATCATTTTATGGCATCATCTAGTTACAGATCTACTGAACACAATGTAGTACAAATTGTTCTCAATCAAACTTAAATGACTAATCCTGACACTGTGCCATAGAAGCCCAGTAAGGGGTAACTATGATGGAAAAACAAAACCAATGAAACCTACCTTAGAGTTGTAGCCTAAATAGCCTCATTCTTTAATAGTTACAATGATAAACCCTAAGAGTCATGACTTCATATTTTAGTGCATGCTACATTCATATCAGAATTAGTGTCAGAATAGGAATCAGTTTCTACTCCCAGCTCTGGCAATTACCTAGTGTTTTGTGACCTTGGGCAAGTCAAATAGCTCTGTGAGTCTCTATCCTTGTCTATAAAAATAAAGACCATTAGGTTAGATGAATCCAAGGTCCATTCTACCTCCAACCTTAAAGAACAGATAACATTGAGTACTTGGAAGAAAGAAACATTTGCTCTTGACTTTGTGGTGGGCTAAAAAGTATTTAGGCCTTTTGTCATAGATTTCCAAATTGAATAGTTTTTATAAAATTAACATTCAAAAGAACTTGACAACTTACCAAATAAATTGTCAGAAAGAGAGAATTCATCCATGGCAGGTCCGTGGGAGTGTTCAGTGAGATTCATTGTTGATCCCACCCAACTGTTCACTTGGAGAATGCCCTTTGTGATGGTGCTCTTCAAAAGAAAATCCGGGAAGACAAATAAATAAAACAGGACTTAGTTGGGGTTGGGGATGAATGATTAAAAGAGTCATAGCCTTTTGAATTTATGAACATTCAACATATGTGCTTTCAGAAGATGCTGTCTAAATTCTTTTGTCTTGGAAAAGCGTCATAAATTTTCATTGAAACCAGCATTTTGGGCAGTTTAAGTATGATAGGCTATTTTGGTTTTGCCTTCTTATTTTCTACTGTAGAAAACAAGCAATGGGTCCAATCAGTGGTCTGTCACTACAGTTGGTGTCTCCCAGTGCTGTAGCTCATGGTGTCACAGCTCCACTCTCCCTCACAGATCTCCTCCCAGACCAGACCACACAGAATCGTTAGTAGTCCTGGGGATATAGTTGTTACCAGTCAGGTTGCCAACGGCAAGGTCACCCGATCAAAACAGGAGAAAGGCTTTCTCCTTCCACAAAGAGTCAAAGTCCTGGAAACCCCCAGGTCAAGTTTACCCTGTCCTGTAGGGTCACAAGGAGTCTGAATCAACTCAATGGCAGTGATTTTGAGTTGGAATAACAAAAGTGTTTTGTAAAAATCTTTCTACATTTTTAGTAGCTGAACAGAAGCCTTCTCCTCCCCTCTTTCTTTTCTTTTAATTACTACTTTATTCTCAAAAAAGTTATTGATTCGGATTCACAAATTATAATGACCACAATACTGTAACTAAAACATGAGAATATTTGATAAAATCAGTGATCGACTATAGAAACGCTGGCAGCAATGAAACAGCAGTGCTTGCTGATGGCGCGAGCAGACGAAGTCACATGACTTGAAGAGTCATTGAAATTGGCTAATAGTGACAGCTCTGGCCAAGGGCATGAAAAAGTTCAGTAAGTAAATGAGCATAGAGTTTTAACCTTTTCGGTATATGAATGCATGTAGGCTATTGTTTAATGATGTAAAATATTTTGTTGTTCCAATTAGCTACAGAGATATTTTCATTGAAAGACAAAAAAATGTTCTGCTGAAATGTTGCAGGAAAGTTTTATAGAAAGTCATTTTGCTGTCACCCATCTGACAGAGTCACTTTGTGTGGTTTTCCCTGCTTCACCCTCTAGTGAGGCCCTGGACGAATCCCTGATTCAGGGGTTAAACTTCACTCTGAAGTTGATCTTTGTAAAGCCATGAGAAGGATTATGGCCAATGCTTATATTGAAAAATCAAGGTCTTGTGTTTTTATCCTCATGGGCTACCGTGGCCATAAAAGAATCTAGAATTAAAGCAATACGGTTAAAGAAAAGAAAAGAAATATCATGGTAAAGCTTACCAAAATGTCTGAAGCTTCATCCTCAGGAGGTGTCCGGAATAAACTCAAGACCCCAAGAGAAAGCCGTGTTCCCTTTTAGCGGTATCTCTAGGGTTTCCTTCCTTTCTCCCAAGATAGCTTCTAAAAAAGTCATTGAAAGGTCAACTCAAGAAAAGATGTGCTATCAGAACCTTTGATTGTTTCCTGGCTTTTTCCTGAGGACAATTTTCCAACTTTTAAAAAACCCTGTCTCTATCAAGAAATCTTTTTTCCCCCATAAATAAATGCCTACTTATATTTGCTACTCAAGAAGAGAATAGAGGGACCTTGTTAGATAAATATTTACTCGTTTTCATCAGCACTCCCTCATTATTCATGCCTTTAAGCTTCTTCCACTCAGCAAATGCCTCAGCTCAAGTAGAACTGACTTTCAGATACACGTGATTGCTGGTAAGGCAAGAAGTTCACCAGGAACCCATTTGTTTCACCCATTCATTTTTCATACTTTCAACATTTGTGGAGTGTTTGCCCTGCCCTAAGCCTTGTGCTCTATATTTGGGGAAATAAGCACTTATAGTCCATGACATCCAGTGTAATGAGGAATAGAAACATTAACAAGATAATCACACAAATTCACATATGATCCCATATGGTCATGACAGTTGTCAACGAAGGGCAAAGAATAAGATGTTCTAGTAGAAAAGTTGGATGTGAAAAGGAATTTAGAGGCAAGAAGTAGTTTAAGGGGGAGGTTGTTTCACTTTGAGGTGATGGGAAGGTGCCTTGGGGAGGGAGTGATTGAATAAATAAGAGAAAGACAGAGCATCCTGAGAAAGGGCATGAACTGTGTCTCAAGATATGTCCAGGTCTGTCTGGTAAACCAGTGGCATGGCCTTACTGAAGCCTACTGTCCATAAGGACAAGGGGCCTATTGGGAGAAAATCCATCCTAAAATCAGAAAGAACCATGCCCAAAGGCAAAATCTCTGTCAGTAGAGAAAGAGCTAATTCTCACGATGTAGTGAAGAATTTGGCCCATTTATACTGAGTTTGAAAAAAAAAGATGAGGCTCTCTACTCCTGTAAAGAGTTACCTTCTCAGAAACCCACAAGGGCAGTTCTACCCTGGTCTATAGGATCACTCAATAGCAGTGAGTTTAGCTTGGTTTTATTTTGGGGAATGGATTGTGGTAGTCATATAATCTATTGTCAATTTGAGAGGATTAAGAGTGAAGGGATGGAGTTTAGCCTATCAATTAGGTCTCAGCTTGATGACCTCATCTGAAGGTGCTATGGAGATAAATAGCTGGCTGGAGGCAGGACGCAGGCTCACTCCCTAGGAGACATTGCAGCTGACAAGACACATGGAACTATGCTAGTGTCCTGAGCTAGAGGAGCCACGTGGAGATTTAGAAAGCCTTTTTGCCTTAAGGTGAGAAGAGAGGGGACTACTTACCTCATAAACTTAAATCGAGTCTACAAGGCTCCCAACAGAATGCAACAATTAGTAAGAAAGAGTTCATCACAAATTCCACCCTCAAAGAACTCTGGCACATATCACAGAGAACACTTTGACCCCAGGATGACTCTGGGCCTTTCTAGGGCAATTGCGAAACACCAACAGCAGCCACAAGTACAAGTACAAGTGGAGTAATTACCACTGCTTGGGCTGTTCTACCCTGTGGACAAAAATAAATAAAGAAATAAATACCAGAGAAGACTTGAGTATGGACAAATAAGAGGAGGCCCCAAGGGGTTTCCGAAGTATTGGGAAGTGAGAAGCTCTGATAGGAAGCTGGAGATTGTGAGGAAAGTCAGTAAAATAGAGTTACGATTGCTATTGGGACCTCATTCACACTCACAGACTAGTTGACTATGACGATTCAAGCTTCAATGTATATAAGAAACGTATGTGTACAGAAGCACAGGAGCTCCTGCATAGTCCAAATGGTTATGTGCTTAGTTAAAAACTGGAGGGCTGCTGATTGGGAACCCAAGACCCATCTGTAGGCAACTGGACATCCCCGTACAGAAGGGTCGCGGGGAGGAGAAGAGCCAGTCAGGGTGCAGGGTAGCAACGATGAAACATACAACTTTCCCCTAGTTCTTAAATGCTTCCTCCCCCACCCCCCCCCCACTATCATGATCCCAATTCTACCTTACAAATCTGGCTAAACCAGAGGATGTACACTGGTACAGATAGCAACTGGAAACACAGGGAATCCAGGACAGATGATCCCTTCAGGACCTGCGGTGAGTGTGGCGATACCTGGAGGGCGGGGTAGAAAGGGGGAACCGATTACAAGGATCTACATATAACCTCCTCCCTGGGTGATGAACAACAGAAAAGTGGGTGAAGGGAGATGGACAGTGTAAGATATGACAAAATAATAATAATTTATAAATTATCAAGGGTTCATTAGGGAGGGGGGAGCAGGGATGGAGGGGACAAATAAGGAGCTGATACCAAGGTCTCAAGCAGAAAACAAATGTTTTGAGAATGATGATGGCAACACATGTACAAATGTGCTTGACACAATGGATGGATGTATGGATTGTGATAATTGTTGTATGAGCCCCAAATAAAATGATGAAAAACAAAAACAAAATGGAGGGTTAGTGAATTGAGTATGCTCGGTAGTTCAATTGGGTAAATGGAAGGCTACTAACAGAAACATAGCAGTTTAAACCCACCCAGGGCTGTCTCAGCAGTAAGGCCTAGCGGTTTGCTTCCCAAAAAAGCCACAGCCCTTGAAAACATATGAATTATATGTAATAAACGTATGTAAAGTCTGCAGAAGTTCCCACTGTATGATGCAAATCATTTGCACTCAACCAACCTAAAGCCTGGTGGTGCCCACACACTTAGTGACATCACGGAAGAAAGCCCTCAGGCTCTGCTTCCACAGAGACGGCAGCCAAGAAAAGTCTACGGAGCACAGCTCTGCCCAGGAACACATGGGCTCACCATGAATTAGCATGGACTCAATGGCAAGGGTTCTGTTTGGTTTTGCTTTCTGCGTATTGTGTAATGTATGCGTTACAATGCCCCGCCACCCCCCTCCCCGCCCCCCCCCAATTCAGATAACTGTTGTTCCAGATAGGGACAAACAGATTTCTTCTAATGCGAAGATAGAAAATGCCGCAATTTCCCATAGTATTACCCTTAAGGAACCCACAATTGGCAGCCAAGATTCCTTCCTGGTATTCAACCCAAATTTGTGCTTGGGACTGAAGACCCATGTCCTCTTTTAAAATGAGAACATTTCAACAGTAGGTCTCTGCTTTTAGGTTTCCCATTGTTTCTCTTTCCCTCAGTAATTAACTTCTCGAACCTTCGGGTGTTCACCCAACTCCCCTTTATTTTCAGCTCTCTATTGTTTTCCAAGTAAAGTCTTCTTCACTTGGGATGTCTACAGCATACTGCTTTTTATGTGATCGTGTTCCCTTGTTCCTTCAAGTTCATGAAACACTGCCAAATCCACTGCCACCCATTTAGTTGTACCTGTAAGTCAGAGTAGAACTGCTCCATAGAGTTTCCCAGGTTCAAACCACCCATCTTTCAGTTAGTGACCTGTTTGTTATCGACTCACAGCCACCAGGCATCCTTTTGAAACACAGTAGGTCGTCAAAAATGTTTGCCCAATGAAGTTGTCTATACTGACTTTTTCCCCCTATTGAGTTCTGCCAGATTTCATGATATTTGGTATTCTTTTCCTAGATACGGCCCAAGATGAGCATGTCATTCTCTTGTTGGCACAAAGGTTTAGGACATAATTTATCACTTGCTCACCCAAATAGAAAGCCAATTCCCCTAATTATGCACCATTTGAGATATTGCCCCTGGCTCCATACCCACCATGTGGGTGACACTGATTAGAAAACACAACAGAGCATTCCAGAATCCAGATACTTAGCAAGGTCCACTCAAATCTGGTTTGATGGGCTTATGGTTCCTAAAGGAGCTTTTTAGAAGAAACTCTTTAATTTTTGAAATAGGAACATAAGCACGTGGTAAACGATGCAGACAGTACACTGAATAAGCTTTCCTCTCAGCTCTTTCACCCATTTCCCTTAGCATTACCAGGTCCTGGATAGCCTCCCAGACACCAATCAACTCTTTAGTATAAAGGAACCATTAAGCATTAACCCTAAGGTTGGCAAACTGCTGCTTGCAGCCAAATCTGGCCCACAGCCTATCTTTGTAGTGCCTGACCGTTAAGAATTATTTCTACATTTTTTAGTGGTTAAAAAAAGAAAAGAAGAAAAAGAGTATTCATGGCATATACAAACTTGTAAGGACTTCAAGTGTCACCGTGCATAAATAAACTTTTATTGGCACAGAGGACGCCCATTTATTGATGTGATTTCTGTGGTTATTTTCTTGCTACAACAGCAGAGTTCCATAGTTGTGACCCAGACTGTATGGCCCTTAAAGCCCAAATTATTATCTATCCCTTAGCAGAAAAGGGTACGGGGGCTAGCTAAGATTTTTAGCATTAGGGGCTGGTGCCCTGGTGTGGTAATGGATAAATGTCAGGCTGCTAACCACAAGGTCAGCAGTTCAAAGTCACCAACCAGATCCAAGGGAGAAAGTTATGACTTCCTATTCCTGTAAAGAGCTCGAGTCCCAGAACCTTGCCGAGGTGTTTCTCCCTGTCCCATAGGGTCGCTATAAATAATCATTGACCTGATGGCAGTGACTTTGGTTTGGGTAGCAGTAAAAGGTTTACCCATCTCTGTCTTAAATGAATAACTACGTATCTGAAAGAATCAAAGTAATATTATAGGTAAACTAAGAATAAATCACAACAACTGCCTCCACCGCTTGTTTGTCCATTTGCTGTACTGCAATGGCTTGTGTGTTGCTGTGATGCAGGGAGCTGTCAGTGCAATTTCCAATTCCAGCAGGGTCACCCAGAGTGAACAGGTTTCAACAGAGCTTGCAGGCTATGAAGAAGGAATAGGTTGTTCACTTCTGAGGAATTGTCCACTGAAAGCCTGATAGATAACACTAAAACTTTCTCCAATACTGAAAACCTCATGACTATAAGCCTAACATTGTCAGAGACAGTCCGGGAAGATGAATCCCTAAGGAAGAGCTAACATCATAAAGGAGTCTGACTTCCTGACGTGGATGGAGTCAAGCCTGTGGGAGTAAAGTTTGCAAGCCCTGCCTTTGCTCATGGGGCTTGACTCAAAATGAGAAGAAACACCTGAAAACATTCATTAATAACCAGAACTTGAAATGTATGAAGTATGAATCTGGGAAAATTGGAGTTGTCGAAAATGAAATGAAATGCATAAAGATTTATATTCCAGGTATTGGTGAGCTGAAATGGACTGGTATGGGCCACTTTGAACCAGAAAATCGGATGGGTTAGTATGCCGAGAATGACAGATTCAAGAGGAAGGGTGTTGCAGTTATCATCAAAGAAGACATTTCAAGATGTATTGTGAAGTCCCTTACTGTCTGTGGTGAGAATACCTATCCACATACAAGGAAACCCAGTCACTACAACTACTATGCACCTCTATGCACCAACCCCTAACGATAATGATGTAGACATGGAAGAATTCTACCAACATCTCCAGTCTGAAATTAATCAAACATGTGATCAAGATGCATCGATAGTTATTGTTGACTGGAATGCAAAAGTTGGAAGCAAAGAAGAAGGAATAGCAGTCGGAAAATATGGATTTGGTGATAGAAGTAAAGCTGGAGATCACATGATAGAATTTTCCCAAACGAACAACTTGTTCATAACATATACCTTTTTTCAACAGAGCAAAAGGTGACTATACACATGGGCTTCCCCCGATGAAATACACAGAAATAAAATTGACTACATTTGTGGGAAGACACACAGAGAAGCTCAATATCAGCAGCTAAAATTAGACCAAGGGCTGACTGTGGAACGGATCACCAATTGCTCATATGTAAGTTC